GGTATGTACATATGGATTTTTTGACTCGCTCTTATTCTGGGATTCGGCTTCAGTCGTTGTTTTTGTTTGTTTGATGATGATACAGATGTATGCGAGAGTCATCACACTGGCTTTCATAAAAGAAGTTCTGAATCTTAGAAAGTCTGGAAAAGTGAAAAGAGAAGATAGATGAATAACAAAAATGATATTTTAGTTGAATTTATTTATCTTTACTGATTCCTGAGGGGATCCGAACTGAACTTTTAGACAAAAATATATGTACTTGAAACATTGTGTGACATACAATGGTGCTTAAAATTATTTGTACATATGAAGAAAATGATAGAATTACGATTGAATAAATGGAATTCAAGAACTTATATTGTATCTTTTTTTGATCGTGATAACACTTAAAAAATGTGTGTTTCATGAAGTTTTACGCATGTTGCCGTTAGAAAAACTGTTTTTATGTTGAAAATATTTACAATGGTAATACGTCAATTGAAGATAATTTACTGTGCGCATTTGATAAATACGAAACATGACTTACCCAAACCATAGAGAATGCTGAAGATCTTCTACACATCTGCGTTCTCATAATTGATTCTATACAGAAAAATAAGACAAGAAATCAATATAGATGAAATTAGAATATAATTCATTTATTCTTCATATGTGATTTATTTTACCGCTCCGTTACTTCCACTCTTTCAATTCGGCTGTTAAACAACTGGTCTCATCCTGACCTCATTCACAGCGACATTTATATTCAACATACACTCAACGCAAATTAGGGAACGTGCATTTGTGAATATTAAAAGAAAATATCCTACTTTGAAAAAAAACGATATCCCATGTAAAAAGAAAGACCCAAAAACTCAGATTAGAGTCAATTATTAGTTTAAAATCAATCCAAAAAAAATCACATTTGCTGGATTTTTATGGATTATTGTTCTCATATACAATGTATCGTCAAAATGAACTGTACCTCAAAATTAGCCTATTAACAATGGTAGAGAAAAAAAACTTAGTCCTTCGAATTATCAAAGATTCGATCATAGAAAGTGACACTTTTATTTAATGACATCTAGGTTATGAAGGAAGTTCGAAAATTTCGGCTGAGAAAAGAACAACAACGTTCTGTTTATACAAGTTTTAAACTATTCAATATCCTATCATCATTCAATTTATAGAGCTTTCCAAGAATTGTATTAAACCACATTTGATCCTTCTATAGCCAGTCATAGACACGCGTAAAATATAAAATGGACGCATCCGTAAAGAACATCCGAGAAAAAATGGCATTTTTCGACCTCCTCCCCTCTTCTGAACGTTCGGTGTGCATTTATTCAAAAATACTTTTTTTTTTATCAGACAACTGATATATTCTCTATATACGCAGATTATTTGTACATCGACGTAACCAAGTGCTATGGAATAGTAAGTTTACCGCAGGTTTAATAATCTATTGTTCGTGTACTTTCGATTAGAGAGATAGTTTTCTTTACTTGTCTGAGTTCGAATTCTTTTCATGCAAGATGAACGATGACCGGTTATGTCGTAATCATTTAATTTTCTTTTATTTAGATCTTATTTTGAACATTTACCAAATGAAATTATTTATGATATATTTCAATATCTTGATGTTTATCATGTTTACGAAGCATTTTTTTATCTTAATCAACGATTTCAAAATTTAGTTATTAATAGAAATTTTTTAATTCAAATAAATATTCCAACAATGTCAAAATCAAATTTTGATCTTTATCATAAAAATATGATTAAACGAAATAAATATCGAATAAATTATATTCGTCTATCAAATTCATTTACTGTTGATATGATTTTTTCACCACCACGTATTATTTGTTATTATATTCAACTTGAAACATTAATTTTTGATAATATTATTGATATAAAATATCTTGAGAATATTTTCAAACATTTAAGTTTTTTACCAAAATTACATTCATTAGTTTTGAGTCTTATTGATCATGTTCAAAATCCAGCTCTTCTTTTTCATCATATATTTCGTTTATCAAAATTAAAATATTGTAAAATAACCTATATAACAAGATATGATCAAAAACTAATGCCAATCGATATGAATCATATTGTACATAGTCCTATCGAATGTCTTATTATTAATAATCGTTTTTCAATTGATTTACTTTATCAAATACTTCCTAGTCTTCCAAAACTTCTTTATTTATCAATTGATTGTCTTAATGGATCGAATTATTCATATATTAATCAAACTCCTATTACATTAAAATATTTAAAAACACTTTCTATTAATGTTGATCATGTAAATTTCAATCTATTCCAACAATTATTCAAATATTGTTTTAGTTCTTTGGAAGTTTTACATCTTACAACACATGATCCAACATATTTGGCTTCAAAACAATGGGAAGAATTAATCTCATCTTCAATGTTGAATTTACGTATTTTTGATATATATTATCGTAATATTGTACAACGTAATGATTTCATATATATTCCTTTAATTTATCAATTTGATTCTTCATTTTGGACTCAACGACAATGGTTTTTTGCACGTGCACATTATGAAATAAACTTCTCAAATTATGTAATACTTTATTCAAGAAATCCATATAGAAGAAAAGATTACATATTTGCTGATGAATACTATCCATTATATTATTTACGTACTCAACAAAATAATCTCAATTCAGTTAAACATGTTCATATATGTGGTCGATATCTGTCGAATGATAATGTAAATTATTTTCCAAATGCTAATGAATTAACAATTGAAGAAAATTTCAATACACTTGATGATTCAATTTCAACAACTCTTAATCGTATTCTTCCTTTAAAACAATTGACTAAATTAATTATTAATAGTTCTAATTTTACTTTTGAACAAATTAATAATTTAATACGTTTTACACCTAATTTATATGTATTAAAATTAGATTTCTTATCTTTTAATGGAATTAATTTAGAATTAATTGAACAAAATGAAATTTTTCAATTTGTATCAAATACAAATAAAATAAAAACTATAGAAATTCGTGAATCTTTTACATTAGAAAATTTTCAAATGATTATTAATGTATTTCTACAAGTTGAATATCTTAAAATTGTAATGAATAGAAAACAAATTAATCAAATTATACGATTTTTATCTTCAAAAATTAACAATAAAACATGTCGTTTATGCTTCTTGTGTATTTCACAAGTACCTAAAGTATGTTTACGAGAATTAAATGTTTTAATTAAATCAGAAAACTTATTCAAAACTTACTCTATTGAATATATTAATCGTGATTTATATTTATGGTGGTAGAGATTTAATTGTTTAGAATAGATTTTATTTTATTGTATATTGTTCGTAATTATTTTTAAATAAACGAAACAATTCATTGATTCTTATTTTCACCTGATTTATACTATGATACAATAGTTCAACATCTATAGAATGTAAATGAAAAGTATTCATGAGAAATACGTTTTCTTAATATTATAAATTTCATTTTCTAATTATCAAATGGTTTTGTTTGAATTTCGTTTGATTAGTTCGTATATGAATGATGTAGAAAGAATTGAATTATCAATAATTAATAAGAGCTTTAACATGAATACTACTTCGTCTCTCGGGTTCGATCAGGGTGTGTGGGTGTTAGTCTACTCGTCATTTGCACACATTCATCTTGTCAAGTCAAAATCGATTTGTCATGAAGTTATGATAGAACTCGGCACGATCATCACAAATCTTCTGATAGCAGAACAAAATTTTCTTTGATATTTTACAAGGAAGGCATCAACTAAAAACTACTAGCTATTAAATTTCTATGGATCTGTTAAAAGTAGTCTAGAAAAGTGAACCCGGTATTTGAAAATGTGAAATTTTTATCCTTCAATATGACGTATATATAAAAGAGTGACTCGTATTAAAGGACGATATAGACTATCGAACCTATCATCAGTTATATTTGTTGGGATGAAACTTTGTTTTTGAATTAGAGAAATGTTTAGAACGCTAGAAGATCAACATGGATTTTGTTTCATTGTGATTCGACATAATTGTGAATATTATTATTTTAAAATCATAGTGTTGATGAATCATATATTAGGCCAATTATTTATCTGTTTATCTATGTCACTATTCGTATTTTTAAAACTTTTATTACTGTTATTTTATATTATTATGATCTTCTACTTCTTGTCTATGTTGTTGTAGAAGTTTTCATCTCGATATATATGTCAACGAATGGAAATGTCGTCCTCAGCGACAACCCATGTCAAAACACATTTTCGTTTCTCGTTTGTCATTCCGACATATTTACTCATCATCCAAACTAGCTGCTATTATATTCTTGACAACTTTTCAAAATTCATAGTTTATTGATTTAATTGCAGAAATTTGTTTATCGAATAGAAAATTTTCTATATAATACTCTAATCATAAAAGATCTACCAATGGTGAGTTCAATTAAGCAAGGGTGTGGCTGTGGGCGTGGGGTGTGGGTGGGTGTGGGATGTGGGTGTGGGATGTGGGATGTGGGTGTGGAAGAAGTAAGCAGATCCACACTCTCACACCCCATACC